GCAAACAAGAATCACATTTTAAAAATACTACCATGTAGTAAGTCCTTTTGTATTCATATACACATGTATGTCCTTAATGTGGCCTAGCGCAGTCATGGCTACTGGGATCACAAGAAAAGTGAACCAAGGTTAGACCTCTCTCTCTCTCTACTCTCCAAATATATACAATTATAAAAAGATAGCAAGAGCTCTCATTTTTGAAACCATCCTTCTCAAGACTCAGTCCTACAAGCTTAATCTGTTTCTGATAAACATTCAAGCTTGGTTGATTTCTAACTTTTGCAGGGCTCCAGTGCAGACTCTGCGGTTTTAGATGTAATTTGATGCAGTGTCATGCGCAAGAATGAAGGAGCAGGAAGCATTAAATCCCTCTCATTGTTTATTTAGGTCCTTAACAGAGCAGTCCTAGATTTCTTTGTGCATCTCTGAGTCACCTGCAGAATGTTACATATTTGTGAATTTTGACCCCTTGCTCTGATAAAATTTTCCTGGCTGTAGCTCTCAGGAATCTGTATTTCGAAAAATACAATAAAATAATATTTAGACGTTGCTGCAAGTTAAGAATGATCACACCCAAAAAATTTGACTGATTACATGTACAGCATGATTAGATAGGCCAATAACCCTGGATAAAAAATAACGTCACTGGGCCTGGCACAGGTAAAGTCCTCACCTTGCACGCACCAAGATCCCATATGGACATCAGGTTCTAATCCTGGTGACCCTGCTTCCCATCCATCTCCCTGCTTGTGGCCTGGGAAAGCAGTCAGAGACAGTCCAAAGTCTTGGGACCCTGCACCCACTGGAAGACCCAGAAGAAGCTTCTGGTGTCTGGCTTCAGATTGGCTCAGCTCTGGCCATTGCGACCACTTGGGGAGTGAATCATGATGGAAGATATTCCCCTATATCTCTCCTCCTCTCTGTACCTCTGACTTTCAATAAAAAATAAATAAATCTTTAATTTAAAAAATAACATTACTAATGGAAATGATGACAGTGTACTCTGTTTGATGTAAAGGCAGATATTTTCTTAATATTTGAATTTACATGCTGTGGAGAAGCCATCGTAAGCATCAAAAAATCTTATCTTAGATATGAAGTATCTTATACAGGTATCTCAAACGTTTATGTTTGGGTAAGCGTGACTTCCCCCGATGTAATATTTCATATAAAGTAGTCACAGGTGACTCTTCACTTTACTGTTAATTTGCAAGTTTGCTGATACAATACCGTCACCTATGTTACCTTTATGAGAAGGGTGTGTGTGTAGAACCATTAAGTGGCCTGCGATTGAGTTTAGTGAACCATGTATCATATTTAATTTGACACAGGATATTTTGTGCATAATGACCCTCTTGAACTTATAACAATGTACTTCCTCCATGAAAACATAATCACCAAAATAAGAGAAAACACTGGCAATGTTGGAAAGCCACTGAAGTGACAGGCATGAATACAAAAAGGAAAGAGTGCACCCAGAGAAGCCACGTGCAGGAGAAAGGTGAGCGGTTACACTCACTGTTTGAAAAAGCTGAGATATTTTAGGAGCAGGGCAGAATACTATAAATATTTTTTTCAGCTTTGATCCATAAAAAAAATATGGACAGTTTGAGAAGAGAGGGTTCCTAACACAGGAGCAAGCAAGGCAAGCAACCTTGGAGGGCCATGAAAGCTGAAGTATTTGTCAATTCTGCATGTTCCTTTCTCATGGCCAGCAAGATTAACTTAACAATACTTGGGGAAAAGCACTATCTGAAATTTAAGTTATTTCTGATTTTTTTTCTTGCAATTTAAAGACACATAGTTATTTTAGAATAAATTGGTTCTCTATCAGCAAGAGTAGCATCACCTGGGATCTTGTTATATGAAAACTCCAAGGCTCTTCCCAGATCAATGGAATCAAACATTGTGAGAAATTCCCACCAGTCTCAAATTTAAAAAAAAATCATTTATATTTTGCTTTGTTCTAAGAATCTCTCAGATCCCAAAGAACTAAATCCACAGAAGTAAAGAGGACGCCAAGGAAAAGGAAAGTTGAAAAATGGAAGGGAAGGAGCCAAAATAATTGAAAGAGCCTTCTGCCAGGAAACAAACAAGGAGTGACAGTGGCCATGAGACTCCGAGGGGGCACTTCAAGCTAAGTGTGAGTCTAGGAAATACTGGCACCTGCTGGTTTGTTTCATCATTGTTATCATCATCCACTGTACAATAAACTCTGGATACCAGGTTTGCATGGATCATTTAACTTGATTCCTACAACAAATGTAGGAGGATTTGAAATTTAATTTTATATCTACTCTATGTATGAGAAAAATGAGACAGAAGTTCAGTGGTTTATCCACAAGTTTGTTCAGACAGTCAGGAAGAAAACTGAGATTTTAACCTAGGCTACAATGTTTGCTTAATAGCTAGTTAAGCTGTATTTGTAGAAACCAGTGGACAGACAATTTAAAATTCCCAAAGTTCGTTGGATCTCCACAAAAGGTGCTGTGGGGTTGGAGAAGGAGGGATAACGGAAGCAGAAATGCAAGTGTGAGAAAAGCAGGTACAATGGAAATGTGAGGTGGAAACCAGCAAGAGTGATGAGAAGGCATGGAGCCCCTGACAACTGCAACACTGAATGTCTTAATGGAAAGAGCTTGAGCCAGTGGCTGCCAGATAGCAAATACCAACAGATATGCAGTTGTCTAAAATATCCCCCTTGAACACTCAAGGTCACTGAAGAGACACTCCTTTCTTCACTTTCCTTGGAAGTTCAGATGGCTTTCTAGTTTTCTCTTTCAGAGAAAAGTAGATAAGAAAGTACAACATCTTAAATCACATACATTTGGTTTTAAAACCATGTTCTAAACCATAGGAGCCTTGGAAAAGTTCCTCATTGTCCCTGAGCTTTAAATTTTGCATGCATGCATACACACATACTTGTACATATGTATAGTTAACCTACTTAACAGTAATAGCATTAAAGGAGACAACAAATAAATATCACTTGACCCCATAAATTAAATTTGAGTTCATTTGTATTACCAAGGCATGAAGGTGCATAAATAATAATCTAATCTAGCTTTGGCTCTAATTTGCTTGGAGTGGTCATGCATGTATCTTAAAAGTACACAAAAGAATAAGAAAACATGAAAGAGTTGTGGATATTTGGTGCTAAGAGATCAGAATCAATATATGTTGCTAAACTAGTCCTTAATTTAGCATCAAATGCACCCCATTCAGAATTAATTCCATATGTGTGTTTTGACCATGCATGTGACTAAGCATGTAATTTAATCTGTCTCTTCACACAAAAATCAAGGAATGTAATCATCAGATTGTCTAATTTTATTTAGTTTAAGATAATGTAAAATTTCCAGTGTGGTTTTGTGGACTTTATTAATAACATTAAAATTATAAGGTTATTTAAGCTGTGTGGAAATATGAATATACTATCAAACAGAAATTATTTTCAAGCATAATATATCATTTAAAAACACATTAGTAAAATCTGTTACGTCAAAATTTAAGCAGAAATACCATGAGATGAATTCATTAACTGTCATTAGACAAAGTAAGTTATAAGCAGCCTTGAACAATGTATCTCCCCTCCACTTGTCATTGAATCAGGAATAAGGTCTCCTTTGGTTTTGCAATGTGTGTGTTTGTGTCTGTCTGCTTGTGCTTGTGTTTTTCAGGGAGTTTTTAAAGTAATCCATTAATATATGTACATATCTATTTATATTGATACATTTATATGAACTGTGTGCAATCTGAAATGTACAAATCTCCATTTGTAGAGCTCACCATAAAGAAAGCATGCTGGGCTTTGACTGGGATCAGAACTTTCCAGTTCAGGGCACCTGCCTTTTACAATTAATAAAATGAAGCTTCCAGCCATTGCAAATAGACTTCGATAGAGGTCACATAACTAAACCACCCTTCCAGTAGGCAGTCTCTGATGTATTTTATTCCATTTTCAATCTATTAATCAGAGGAGTTGGGAGAGCAATAATTTAAATGCTGCAATAATCAATTCCATAATGCATTAATAGAAGCTACAGTCAAACTTTGCCATACCACTGACTGCATTGGAATCCTGATAGGAGCCCTAGGGCCATGTCTAATTTGCATTAAATTTACATAAAATTGTAAATCAAGAATACATGAGCACAGACCCAATATTTGTTCTTACTTAGATCTTTCCTGATAGATGGATTGAAGCTGTTGGTGGTTTAACTTCACTTGCAATAAAATCGTGCAGTTGCTCAGTTTTGCTTTCATTCTGCAATTATGGAGAAAAGGACCCAAGAGAGTTTCTGTTTGAGGGCATGTGCATGCCATTAGGGTTTTGATCCTATAAAACCATGACTCAGATATGCCTTTGGAAATTTCTTTTTAGAAGTAAATTGTCCCCAGTGACTTTGCAGATCCTTGTCAATAGATTTGCTCACAAATAATTTGTCATTAGCTAGAGACACAAACCAAATAGAAAGCTGGACAGCTGAGAAGATAAAAGGGCCTTTGGGAATTTTTATTTTTCCAAAAGACTTTTGTTATCGCACATGCACACACAGAAACTAGACAATTAGTGGTAATCTTCAGAGCAAGGACATATAAAATAAAGTTTTCTTACATTCAGCAGAGTATCTAATACCTCACCGAGTGGTGGAGTAAATTTTATATGGTTCTAATTATTCTGCGTATTCTTGCTAAAATTTTCCTTTATTCCAACCACTCTGGTATTTACTGTATGTTATTTTATTTATTTCAAGTCAGGTGTAGGTAAAGTGCTCCCACCAGGGTTATTCACTCAGAGTGGGAAAATTACCTCCTGCTCTTCTTACTCTCATTTTATACCTATCTTTCAGAAAGAAAGCTGATACTTAAATACAATAATATATTGGAAAGGTATTTTCTTTTTCCAGAAAAAAAGACTTTACAAATATTTTGTTTGTTAGCATTATTGTTGGTTCCCACCTCTCACTTACCACTCAATTATCCTACATGTTTCTTACCTTGCACAATCAAGTAAACTTGGGAGGTCTTGGGCTCATGCTGTGTCTGTACGGAGCAAGTATAGGAACCCTCATCATAGACATCCACCTTCTGGATTCGGAGGCTGTATTCCAGAGAATGGCGCTTCTCCAGCTCAACCCGGGGATCCAGAGACCACTTGTCATGTCCAGCGAAAATGATGCCAGAGCGGTTCAACCAGGCCACCTTTGAGTTCTTGTCTTCTACAACACACCTGCCAGATCAGAGTAACGATGTTAGCACCTTACCCACAGCTGTATCTGCTTCCCTTCTTCCATGATTAGAGTCAACAAGATAAATCAAGCAAAATATACAGAGAATGAATTATTGTCCTACTAAATATTTGAGTTTTAACTATTTTTAAAAATTTCTTTAAAATAGAAATTAATACCCAAAAGATGAATATCATTGACTGTAGTAGACTCAATTCAGACATAAACGATTGGAGGATGAGTGATACAGGCAAATAAAATTAAGTTGAACACTGACTTTCCCCTGGATTGTCATCTTATTTAGGTATAGGTCACTGGCACAGATGGGACTGGGAAAATTAGAAATCTGATGTGGCACACTCTATCCTGTCTTGAGTACTGTCTACATTCTTGTGTGATGGTAGAGTCAGGTTACACTCCACGGCTACAGGAATTACACTAGATTACATGTTTGCTGCTAAATTTTCCCAGTTTCAATTGCAATATGTGCAATTTCAAGCATAAATGCAGAGGTGTTGTGTCAAGAAAAAGCAAACATCATCTGGCCTAAGTTTGTTTTCAGCTGCTAAGGATATCAAGTTGTCTGGTGGCAAGACAAAGGACTCCTAGAATTGTTGGTCATACTGAATGAGAACAATTCCTCACTGGAGATGAAGGAACAAGTTGGGTAGTTCATAGTCCAAGTAATCTGAAGGATAAATGCTGATATGAATGACTATTTCATTAGAAATTTTAAAGGATCCATTTATATAAAGTATATGAGAAGGTAAAAGAACATGGGTTGGTAGAAACGTGGATGCTACATGATAAATGTTTTTTCTTTTAATTTCAAAAAAATTTGGCAAAGTAAAATTCAAGGGGGGAAATTAAAAAAAAAACTCTCTATATCCCTTTGACAAGATTTATGTCTATCTTAAAGGGAGATTATCCCAGACCCTGCTCCCAGCTGCAGAGCCAGCTGCTCAACCCTGGGGCATGAAGGGATGGACAGTGTGTCGGGAGAATGATGGCACAACAAGAAAACATTATGTTTCCTTATATTTTCTAAATCAAGTCTAACCCAGGCTTTTTCTTGGGTCAAAACTAGGCATATTCCACATGAATGCATAGACAAGAAGTTAGGAATCTAACTCACATCCAACAAGAAAGGGATGTAGAAGCCAATTTCTACCTCTCCCTGGAAGAATAAAGCACGTGAATACTGTAGCATTTGGTAAATGTCACATGAACTAACACACCGGACAGATGATCACTCGTACCCCACGTCCGATCCCTCAAACTCTACAACCTCTCCAGTGTCTCCTCTATGACATAAATCTTCCTTGTAATTGCTACATGAACTGTAAGGTTTTAGAGTAAAAATGTAACCTGGTAATTTAGGTGACAAACTATATGGGTTTTAGTTTCTTCTCATCCTGTTTGTTTTCATAAACATGTTTAGATTCAGGAACATGTCAGTATCTTTATTCCCAGTATATATTTCACTGCCATTGGGATATTACTGGGCATAATTACACAAAAACAATGATTGTGAACTCCTTTTTCAGGAGCACAAAGCTAGCCTCATAGAAACTTGCTGCTTCAGGGCAGACCTTGTTTTATTTCCTATGTAACAGTCTCTTTTCACATTTTTATTTCTTTGTTTTTTTTTTTTTTTTTTTTTTTTTTTGAAAATCAGAGAGAGTGAGTGAATGAGAGAGATTTCATCAACTAGTTCATTATTCAAATGTTGGTAGCAACCAAGTCTATGTTGAGTAGTAGCCAAGAGCCCAAATTCCATGTGGATCTCTTTCGTGGGTAGCTGGGACTCAAGTGCTTAAGTTATCATCTGCTACATTCTATTAGAGGCATTCACAGGAACCTAGATAGGAGGTAGGGCATTTCAACCCATGCGTATGCATGCATCCCAGCCACAGGTGTCCCTGCTGTTACACAGTGCCTGCCTCTCCTGCCCCAGTCTTTGTGACATTAATTTCTCTGTCTTTAGGGTCATTTATAAACTAATTAATAAGCTGTTTATTGTCCAATACCATATCTTTCACGAAGCTGCTGTATACAGATTTCATAAGCCTTGATTAAAACAGGAAAATGAAGAGAAATTTCTAAATTCAACTTTCTTAGTGTTAAACACTGATTCCATAGAATGTTTTTTAAGAAATGTGTGATGCTGCAAATAACCCCCAGATTTAGAAGGAGCTGCATCCTGGAGTCGGTGTTAACATTTCGAGGGAAGGGATGGAGTAAGTATTTCCTCTTTAAATGAGGTTTCTAAGAGGCAGTGAAGGGCATGGGGGCATAATTTAGAGCGTCCCAGCTCTGGGAAACCTCCTCTTTGTACTACACCACCCCATTCACCTGGCTCTCTCCACTGCACTGCACATGGATTAGTAATTATATTCACCTTATCTCAGGAGCTGATTAAAGATGATGACCCTATTGTAATTTACCTGCTGAGTCCTTGCTGATCTTAGTAACACAAAAATCATTCACACCGGGCCTGGCGGGGTAGCCCAGTGGCTAAAGTCCTTGCCTTCAATGCGCTGGTTCTAATTCTGGCAGCTCCACTTCCCATCCAGCTCCCTGCTTGTGGCCTGAGAAAGCAGTTGAGGATGGCCCAAAGCCTTGGGTTCCTGCACCAGCATAGGACACCCGGAAGATGTTCCAGGCTCCTGGCTTCGGATCAGTGCAGCACTGGCCATTGCGGGTACTTGGGGAATGAATCATTGGATGACAGATCTTCCCCTCTGTCTATCTGATTTCACAATAAAAATTAAAAAAAAATCATCCACACAGTAAATTCTCCATGATATGTATATTACTAAACTGACTATTCTTTAATAAAGTTCTCTTGGGATAATTTCCAAATCTTTATTTACTATATAATAAATGAATAACTATTTCAATGTCCTTCAATCAACAGAATTATCTAATATAAAAGGAAGTGTAAACTTTCTTGTACAGTAATAATCCAGTACTTGAATACAGGATTAACATGTAAGTGAAGAAGAGTGGGAAAAAAATGTTCACTGTTTCCACTAGGAAGAATGATGACATCTGAGAAAAAAAATCCTCTGTATTGCATGTGGGAAATCATAGAAAGGATAAAAAGCACTAAAATCAATTTTAACATGTTGCCCAGTTTAAACATGAACCCTCAATTATCAAGTGGCTTATCTACATTAAGTATAACATGATAACTTTTTTAAAATTTTGTTTTAAAAAAATAGAAAAGGTAAGCATGCAAGATTTTTATCTCTTCTGTTCAGTACATCTGAATCCATAAAACTGTCACAAAAAATCAGTGCATTCATAAAAGTCTCAAGCATTGGATCTCCACAAACATTTTATACCGACTACATTATGCATATACACAAAGTTTCATTGACAATTCCATTCAGACTGAAAAACCTGGGGATTATTCTACTAAAATGATGGATATAATTGGAGAAAGTAAAGAAATGCTATCTTCAGTTTGTACTAATAGATTTCCTAATGGCATATTTACTGACAGGATATCCATGAAAAAAGTGATAACATGTCCATTAGATGTTAAGTCTCCTCAATTGATTCAAGACACATCTCTTAATTTTTAAGAAGTACTGCTGGCTGCTAAAAATGTATCAACTTAGCATTCATCAAATGTACCCAAAGTTAGTATTATTTAAATTTCCTCTGTTTCTCAACAGTATAAGCTGGCATTTATTCACTGATCACAAATAAATACATTTTACTCAACTTCACATCCTTTATATATTCCTGCTTTTTGGATTTTAGGGTCTGGAGTCAATGAAATAAGCTGGATACTAAAAGACATTCATTTATTCCTAAAATGATGAAGAAACAGTCAGATGAATGGTCCTTAAGTGAGGGCAAAGTATATCCTTCAGCATTTGGCTGTTTTGGGAGATGCTTTTTGATTGTTGCAAATGGAGAGAGAGTTGCTGGTACTGCCATAAACTGAGTAAGGCCCGGGCCCCAGGGGTGGGGTAGCAATGGGCCGAGGGGAGGTGTAGTTGCTGCTGCTGAAACATTCTTAAATGCACAGGGCATCCCACAACCTAGACTAGACCCTTAAAAATGTTGACCAGACTGAAACTGGAGAATCCTGAGTGAGATCTTGTCTCTTGGTTTAAATATCCAGAAATACAAGGAAAACAGTGGCAGTTCAATGGTGCTTTTCCATGAGCACATGTTTATAGGTTAAGTATTGCCAGCCAAGGTTTTTAACTGAATTCTACAATAAAGAATAAAATGAGGCCTATTGGTGCTCTAGTTGTAAGCTAATAATTAATGAATTATTAATTCATGAATTCATAATGGCTTTATTTTCATATCTAAGTTGTGCAATCACAGGCTGTTTTATCTCACAAGCTATTGATAGTAAATGACGAAAGGATAACTTGCTTGGCTCATAATTTAATGTTAGAGGAATCATTTTAACCTAAACTTTGGGGATATTTTTCCCTAGCTAAAAATGGTCCCTACCTAGGCTAGAGAAGGGGAAATTCAGTTGAGAAGATTTTGATTTATAAGAGATCTATGAGGATTCAGCCATAACGAAACATTTAAAATAAATTTTATTATTTTTAACATTTGTCCTCAATTTCCCCTTTCTGGGGGCCTGGCACTGTGGCATAGTAAGTTAAGCCTCAGCCTGCAGTGAGGTCATCTCATACAGGAATAGTTCAAGTTCCAGCTGTTCCACTTATGATTCAGCTCCTTGGGGAAACATAGGAAGATGGTCCAAGTAGCTGGACCCTTGCATCCATGTGGGAGACCTAGAAGAAGCACCAGGTTCCTGGCTTCAGAGCAGCCCTTCTCTGACTATCAAGAACTTTTGGGAGTTCATCAGAGGATGGAAGATTTCTCTCTGTCCCTCCTTCTCTTTCTGTAAAACTGCCTTTCAATTAAGAATAAATACATCATTTTTAAAAACCCTTTTTTATAAGATATGGAAGGATATAAAAGAGAATGTGAAGGGAATCTTCAAAAATGCATCACT